AGCAACAATGCAATGCCTGTTTTATAGAAAAATTAGCAGGTGAATTTCAATGATAAAAATTATATAATGGGTATCAAAAAAGGGTACCGTCCTTGCCAACAAAAATCATATCAACTTACGTACTGTTTGCCAAATTTCAACAAATAATATTTGATGATCTATGATTGACTTTAAGACACATTGAAAGTTTGGTAATAATTTCGGGAGTATTTTATACTGTTTGACGGTAAAAAAGCTTAGTACTCAAAGGTCATCCTATATTTTACAAAATGAGTGAAAACGACAGAGTGTACGAATGTCTAAACAATTATCTTAAAATATCAGTAATTGTAGTAATCGACGTTTGTTTGATATTCAAGCAGATGATGGAACTTAAATTTATTACTTAAAACCCTCAAAACAAAATTCACGATAAGATGAACTTGAAAAAAAACAGCGAAGGTCTGAAAAGAGCAAAGAATTGCAATAGCACAAAGACAGATTTATATGCAATTTTCTTAAATATTAGTGGTATTCATGTTCAAATTAGTATTCGGGGAGATTGTTTAACTTCTGGAGAAGTCTAGAAAGTATATTTTTGCAAAAACATCGCAAGGTTTATTCGAGGAAGGACCAAGAATCAGGAATCTGCTACATTATTTCTTCAGGATAGCGTCCATTAAATTTCTTCAGGATAGCGTCCAAAACCGCACGCCCTGAAGAGCAATGGGGTTTTTGGGAAAGTTAATGTTTTTAACATTAACAATAATCGCCAGATATTTGACCTTTTGACTTGTTTCTATTTCCAAACTTGAAACAACGCCTTTTCAGAAGGATGAAACAAGTCCAGGAAATCATTGGATCTGCCGTTTTCCAGTGTACTAAGGGTCATACCCAAAAATGAGTTCTAAAAAAATCAGAAATTGGATGAAAAATGTTACGGACATGCATTTTAATTATAAGAGATTAATAAGTTAAATCATGAAGACTAATTCATTGAAATGCGTCTTTTGCTTCTTTCCGAGCACCGATCCGAGGACATTATTTATTGAACAGCCCTCGTAAGTTACTGCGAATGTATAAAATTTGAACCACGTTCACACGGGGACTTTAATGCCAATTCGAATTAATTTACTGTACATTAAATTAATTTGCATTACATCAGTGCGAACGCTAAGTAAAGCTAATTCGAATTAAATTTTGGGGCATGTATAATTGCAAAATTTAGTCAAATACCACATGTTGGTGATCAGTCTAAGGACTTGTGCTATTTTTGAGTGAGTGAAAAACTAAGAAAAAATATGTGAACCATTGATGTGTAGTTTATACGGACACGGTAACATTATCTCAAATGCATCTGCTTCTGCATAAGGTGACGTGATTTGCAATTCACGTCATTAAATCTAACTGACGCCTTACTGTCGAAGTAAAATTTTATTTCGCATTAGTTTACTTCGATTTAGCTGTCGTGAGAATGCAATTTAATTTGCATTAGATTTATTCGTATTAATTAACCTCGCATTTATTTACTGCGAATTAAACTCGCCGTGTGAATAGAGCATAAATTTCATACCTGGTTCGGCTCCGCTTCGCCAGGTATGAGATTTACTAACCAGGTATCATCCCGTACCCTGTCACTAAAACCTATGTAACATATTATTAGTTTTTTTGGAAAGAAATATAACAATTCATTGTTGTCTATTACTAGAACTTAAGTTTCTACATTATTGTTTTATTCATATATTTATCATAATTGCTTTATGAGGAAGTATGAGAGTGAAAGGAGAACTTCGAGATGATAGGCTGGATTGAAACTTCCTCTTTTGTTATATATAGATTAATGAATTTTAATGAACAAACAATATATAATGTAGGGTTATTAACTTATTTGGGTGAAAATTCGCACAAGTTGGCAGTACAAATGCACGAGCTTGTGGTACATCCAACGAATGCCAATATTAACCAATATAAGTTCAGTAACTCCTTTATCATATAGCTTAAAGATTTCTACGTTTACTAATAATTTGTAATAATTTTTCCAATTCTAACATCTGTCCTGTAAGCGTTACATGTAGATATTGCTTCATTCTAGCTATGACCCTAACGAGCCACAGGATTTGCTTATTTAGATTTTAATGGGTCTAATAGGTACTATATTTTTAATAAATAATTTCATTTTTGTGTTAAAAAAATAAACACATCTTACCTAGATGCCACTTCTTTCCTTCAATTTAGCTCAAAGAATTTGATCAAGCGACTTTTTCTTGTTTACAACGAGGCATTCGATTTTGAAGGCTCGTATACGTAATACAAACTCAGCGTTTAATAAGACGTCAAGATATTGAACGCTAAAATTTTCTTGATGTGTGGTAGTATTTTATTAGAAACTATTTATTAGCAATATAATATCACAAATTTTTGGGTTGCCTTATAAAAACTTGATGAAGTATTTTTTTTTTTATCTACTTATTTACTTTTTTGCTTAAATAGCAGTGATCGCAGAGAACACGTGAACTATGGCTAATGAATACAATCCAATCTATTATAATGATCTGTAGAATTTGTATCACCTGTGAAATGTTACAGAAAAGTTGGGGGGGGGGTGTCAAAACCAAGATAAAAATGTCATTTTTCTACTTTTAAATAATAATCAAACTATGTGTCAGTTCTATGCGTCTAATCGGGATATACATTGAAAAAGACATGGTGCATTGAATTTTATCAACTCAATTAAATATCTGGATACTATTCGTGTAAAAATGAAGCATATGGAGATTACCAACAGTATTTAAGACAGACATCAATAATACAATGCAAAATTGGAGCAGACAAGATCGTCTGTCATAAACGCGCTCATTGGTTGATAAAAACTTTATCTGCCGTATACTATGTATTTTAAAATGTGTCGGAAAACCAAAACAGATCTTAGAGTTTCTAGGGTGTATAAGGGCCACAGTTGCATCTTTTATCCAAGTTATTTTACGATTGTATCAAAGTACATGTTTGTTTTAACAAGCTGCAAATCTGACTTTCTAAATATTTATCTTTTTATATCAAGTGAATTTGTAAGAAAAAAAAATTAATAACTTAAGTTTAACTACGGATGGGAGTGCATGGGTGTTACATGTACTTTAACAATTTGTTATGCATTTTGTTACACTTTAAGGTAAAGATCTATATAGTAGATATCTTTTCACTTACTTTCGTGGTGATGGCAGCATTTTGACTTCATAATCACTTTCAATTTTTTCCTTTATTTTACAAATCTAGTAGAATTATGTAGAAAAATAAATTATTTTCACGGAATAGAATTTAAAATCAAATGAAAAGTAGCCCCGATACCTATATCAAAATTGACATTATTTTAAAGTAGAGTCCAAGAACATACAAATACCTTTTTTGAAAGACTGGATACATTTTCGTATGATATGAAATAAAGTTCGATATTCATGACCGGTTTTTCTATATTTTTTTTATTTATTTTTTTTTTTTTGGAGATGACAGTTTACATATGATTTTTTATCTACAAATTATGCCCGTAAATACCTTATTTGACCAAGTTCTAGTAAAAAATCATCATTAAGGAAATTCATTTATTCCTTAAATTTTATATTTCTGTAGGTTTTTTCAATTAAAAGAGCTCAGTCGGTAGAGCGCTCGCTCCGTAATCTGAAGGTCGTGAGTTCGTATCTCGGCCGCGACCGACCTAGTCGTTAAAATGGGTAGCAACTGTTCCTTCTCCATACGCTCGGCACTCGGAAGTGAAAGTTGCGGGTCCTTCGGATGAGACCTTAAAAATCGAGGCCCCGTGTCAGCGGCAGGCGTTGGCACGATAAAGATCCCTCACTGCTCAATGGCCCTGAGTGCCGAGTAAAGGTCAAAATATGAAGCTCTTCATCGGCATACGGTGACGTCTACATATGAAAGAAAAATTCTCGAGAGGGAGGTTAAACAATAAACAATCAATCAATCAATTAAAAGAGCTTGACCTTTTATCTCATTTTTAACTTTCATCTGTATATTTTACCCATAATCGGTAAAATATATATTTTTAATCTGTAATTTTAACAGTTTATTAGACTAGAAGAGTCCCTTTTCTCCAAGAATAACTGAGGAACAAAAAAGAGAATGGTAAACAAAAGTTTTGAGAACAGTAGAACTTTGATTACTTTGATATAACAAAAATATTCTCCATTGTTGAAAACTTAGGACCCACGGACGTCTTCAGGTAGGTAAAATAAACTATCTGGCTGCCCTCCCCCCACTTTCAAAATCAATATTACGTCACTGGTGATATACACGAATCGATAATGTTTTTAAGATTCAACCACCCTCTGGGAAAAGATAACCAAGCGAGAGTATGGACCAGAATTTAAATGGTAACATCTGCATTTCTATTATGGAAGAAATTTCGTTATCTGTTTACTATATGAGCATTCTTTTTGACAAAACCTTCCTTCGGGTACCATGAATTATAACTTATGACCTTGGAATTTAACCTGTATGAAAAAGCAAAACAACTTTTATGTTGTTCAATGTATTTGAATAGCTTGTGATTAGGTTGTTTTTTTTTTTATTATTAAATAGTCACTATTTCGTGTGATGACAACCTCCTTTGGGTACTTTTGATTTTGACCTTTTAACCAAAATCTTAAAATTTGAACCCCTTTCATTTAAAATAACTTGTCCATAAAGTAAAAATGGTTGGTTGACTATCATGTTACAAAGGTACATGCATATTCATTTAGACAAGTTCTTTTGAGTTCGAGACATTTGTTATCTTTAGACCCTGGAGTTATCGTTTAGCATTTTAACCTACGCCATACGGAGCTTCAGTGCCTCACATGCATATTTTGTTCCGATACTTGTTTGATATCTAAAGAACTAAAGAACTCTCTACCATACATTTTTGTTTTATCAAAGAGTTAAAATTGAGAAGAAAAGCGTTTATAGAAGGTGATAAATGCGGGGAGGCTTGTTCTTTGAATATACTTTTACGCGGCAATCAAAAACAGCAAAGTATGAATCACTTTCTCAACGTTATTGTCAAGAATCTTTTATTGCTTTTAGGAACAACATTCTCCTTTGGAGATGGTAAGTTATAATATTTAGAGTAAATTATATTACACCCATTTATGTTTCAATTTGTTATAACTTAATTTCTTATTGTCCATATTATTTGAAGACGGTACACAAATTCCTTTCATAAACAGATTTATAATTATAAAGCACATTGTATAAAAATTTAACAAGATGTGTAATTTTTCTTTGAAATTCATTTACTTCAGATGACCTGTCCTACTTAAAAAATGCATCTCAAACACTGACTCGGACCTGTTCAATCAAAGAAGTTGACCAGTGTGGACTTTACGTAGCTGCTAACGCTTTAGATAGAAATATGAGTACGTGCACAAGGTCAGAGCTGATAGGTCTTTCTTCTCCGAATAAGGAAGTGATGTGGTACGTGGATCTTGGTGAAATCTACAGTGTTTACAGCATATCCATACAGTTTAAAGACTACGGTCCTAGTTACGGTAATGTTTCAATTTTTTTCCCTCCAAAGTGGAAAAATCTAGTTAAAACAGATCTTCTAGCAAAGAATGTTACATCTGACAATTTCTTATTATTATACCTCATTATAAATATTCTACACAACGCGTTTTCTGATTGATTCTAGATCATCACGTGATCGGGCCGTAAAACTTCACATTTCCCGGTCGTCGGCACGCTTTTCATCATATTCCACCTCTTCGGATACTTAGTGCATTTTCCCGCAATAATTATCGTTCATTAAAAGAAAACTCTCGAGAGTAGTAGACGTCACAAAAGCCTGCTTTACGTCACAAATTTGATGATAAAATGTTGACCAAAGGGTTTAGCAATTTTAAGTTAAAAATGAAAATGAATTTGAGAGCGGTGCCGAATTTGAAAGTTTATGTTTATTTCAAAGGTTTCGCTTGTTTCGGTTTAATAAACAATTCATTGCATGAATGTTCGGGAAACGTGAAGACTTATTCAGCCAAGAAGTATCATATTCCCCGAGGGCGAAGCGAATATGATTTTCTTGTCTGAATAAGTCTTCATATTTCCCTTACTATCATGTAATAAATGTATAATATCTAGCAAAAATCATTCTCAAATAATATAAATTGTCCAAATCGCTTGATTAGGGAATATAATCAGGGAAATCAAATAAATTTATCAGTATCTTTTTGCCATGCTGCATTTTCTTCATACATCTTGACCTTTATGATCAATACTAAGGCTTGTTCTTTCTTTATTTCATGTGTATAAAATTAACTAGCTCATACTTTTTATGCGCTCGGATCGATAGATCCAAGGCATATATTATTTTTTGTCCTGTCTGTCTGTGTGTTTGTCTGTTTATCTGTTTGTTTGTCAGTTTGTCTGCAAACCTTTTGAACTTTTGAACCACGAATGATAGAAACTTAATATTTGCTATACATAATCCATCAATTAAATTCTTTCAAATGATACCAAGGTTATTGACCTTGTGACCTTGACTGTGACCTATATGCAAAAAAAGCTTACATGTACCTTCATAACTTTTGAACCATGAGAGATAGATTATTCATATTTGGTATGCATATTCCACTAATTGTGTTCTTTCAAATCACACAAAGGTCAATGACCTTGTGTCCTTGGCAGTGAGATATGCTAAAAAGTTGGGTTTTTTTTTTTTTCGTAATTTCGCTATAACTTTTGAATCATAAGAGACTTCATTACTGGTATGCATACTCAACTTATCGAGTCCTTTCAATAACATCAAGGACAATGACTTTTTGACATTGACTGTGACCAATATGCTAAAATAGCGTTTTTAAAATTTTGTTGCCGCCGGGCGCATAGTGATTTACAAATACATCTTATTTTGCAACCAAAGCAATTACTTATATTCAACATAGTATTGTTTCAAACATTGAATTATTTTTTTATGGAAAGACTATTTACAAAAATTACGGAAAAAATTAATTAGTGTTAGGAATTTTAAAAGAGTATATGAAATATTAAGCTTCATTATTCTAGCGGAGGTTTTATTCCTCTCATGTTAATACCGTGGTAATACTAAGACTTTTAACAAAGTTTTTCCCCCAAAGACAATGATTTTATGGCATTTGTTTTGTACATGTATTTAATCTATGTACTTTGTCGCAATTTATTATCAAATATGCATCCATGATGACACATATTATTATATAATGGCATATTCAGTAATGCAGATGAATTATGATGCTCCATTTTTAGAAAAGTTAAAGACATGAAAACATTTTTGGAAACATTGGTTTTTAATTTAAGTCGGATAAACACTGTACACTTTGCCAATAAAAATGATATCAGAAGCTCAGATTTTTTCTGGCTAGCGATGAATAAAGTTTGATAACGATTAAAATTTATGGGAAATATTTCTGTTACTAATCAGATGTGCTTTAGATCTTTTAAAATTTATATGGAATTTACGTGAGATAAGATTTGTTTTCTTTGTGTTGTTGAAATTCTTATCAATGATTTGATGACAAATAAAGCCGTAACTGTAATGAAATTGAAATCTATTTCTAGACAATCTTTACAAACATATACGTATTTGATCAGATAACTTTTCAAATAGGTCAAAATCCCTCCAAATACAGTCTAACAAAACAAAAAAAAATGCATCAGACCATATTTGTCATTTACAATAGGCTGATAACAGTAGTTATTCTTTACAAGTATTTCCTAGCAGAGGAATGTTAAATGAATATATTTCATAAGAAAAAAGACTTCATTTTCTGTTAAAATATATTTACGGTAATAAAGAAATTTGACAATAGATTTTTGAAAATTTTTCCTTCCTTTTTACAAACGATTTTTTACATAAAAATATTTTAGTTATTTTACATAGAAAAAAAAATTGTCACATTACTAAAAATATTATGAATAATATTAGGATAAAGAAGATGACTGACTATATGTATAAAAAGCTATTGTTTAACATTTTTTTCTAATATAATTTATTATTTAATCTTTCTGTAGTTCAAAGACAAAGAGGTAGATTTGCAGGTTTCTCTCTATATCTTTCAAACTCATCATATAAAGAAAACGGTTATCTTTGCTATAAAGATGGTCCACAGTTACCGCCACTTAACTTTACAACAACATGCATTAAACATGGCCGATACATCATCTATTACAACGAAAGATTGGACAGTGTCAGGTACCCAGATGAGTATCAGCCAACATCCTTCGCTCAACTGTGTGAAGTAACTATTCAAGGTTAGATTGCTTTAACTGTCAAATAACCATATTCGTTTTAATAAAATTTATGGGTATTCTCAATTTTAGCGGACATGTGTACGTCAAATTCTTATGTAACTTTATGATCAATATATACATATTTATCAAGTATTTAGATGCATAGTATTTTACATTTAAGGATGTAAATACCAATGAACCTATGGTGAACGATGTCACTTTAATTGCTCTGAGAATTGTCAAGAAAACCGATGTGATATTGTCAAAGGAACTTGTCTTGGATGCAAGCTTGTGTGGGTTAGAATGAAATGTCAAACAGGTATATCCAATTAAATGTTAGATTAGAGAGCTAAATCCACGAATGTGCTAAATCGGCCTAATGATTTTAGGAAAAATAAAGTGAGGGGAAGAAGAAAATTATTTACGTAAATATTATCCTTAGGTATCAAACTTGAATAGTTAACGTCAAAATTTTCATTTGATGACGTCATATTTGTGCAGAAAACGCCTAAACACGTGAACTTTGCTACTTTTTATCAAAATTTAGCATTTTTTTCGTCTTTGATTCAAATTTTTGCTGTGGCAACACCCTTTGAACAAAATAAAATTCACACCATTAAAAAGAAAATTAAAAAATGAACAAATAGAGTGTTATTTTATTTTGTTCGAGGGGTGTGGCCACATCGAAATATTTAATTTTCATTCGATTCAAATCTCTTCGCACCGACCACCAAAGTGGAAATAATGGGAGTTTACCTGAATTAATGAAAGAGAAACAAGATTATATGTTGCTTTTGTAAATTCTAATTAGTTTTTAAATGCAAATATTAATATACCATTTATTATAAATTATTTTGTGGTGTGGTGCAAAATAAAGTACGAAAGTCTCTCGGAGTCTCTAAAAGCATGACTGCATGAAGATGCAATAATGGTGACTCATTCCTAACCCAAGACTTTTTAGTCAAGCGCAGCTGATCTAGGTTTACATTATCATTGATTATGCTGAAATATTTTTAAAAAATGGATACTCTTTCCCCCAAATCTTATTTATTTTACAAACAATGTATTGATGTTTTATCTCCCGATCTCGTCTCCATGGTCACTATGTAATCAAAGGGAGATCACCCGAGAAACTTTATTGTCACCAACTCGGAATTATAGTCCTAGAATATATTTTTAACATAAACAATTACATCGGTAGCAACTACCAGGAAGTATATATAAACTGAAAATTTTTGCTTTACTCCTTTACAAAACACAAATTGTGTATGTCGTGAAGTCTGCATCGACTGGCTTCATAAATGATAAAAATGATTCACGTTTGGCTGAGTCAAGATAAAAGCGCACAAAGCAACAGGCCCTATCCGAAACCAACATGCATTTCAGAAACTGCTTTTTGCATTTCAAGAAGACCGCTTAATTTTAAAAAGTTTATTATCAAAAATATTTTCTGATCCGAGAGTTTATAACATATGTGGGCCTAGCGAAGTATTGAACCTAGAAAATCTATTGAAATAAACAATTGGCGAGATCGCGTGTAATTTTTGTGATGGGCCTTTATAAGACTAATACAATGTACATTGTAAAAACGAATAACTTACTACATGATACCGAGATAGTGACAGCTCTTTATGGTTGCAGGTAATTCCAGTCTCGCCTTCATGCCACATGAAAAAAAAGTCAAAGGGAGGCTACTTGTTTATCTCTTTTTATTTTGAGTTACTCCTCTCAAATGTAACCTGTTCAACGTCAGGTCTAAGGGAAAGAGGGCAGCCGAGATTAGCAATTAAGACAGTTTATAGTAGAGTACATTCTTATAGGAGATAGAGCCTGGACATAACATTAGAAGCTAAGAGAGAGTGAGGTCTTCTAACGAAAAAATTAGCCTGAAGGTAATGGGGGGGGGGGGGTGTTCGGATCCCCACAATATCACTGTAATATTTACATCCACTGAATATTTTCTCCTTTATTTCTTAAGAAAACCCATTGCGTTAATCACTGCATGAACTACAGTAGGGATGCCGCCAGTACAGGTTTCTTGATCAGTGGCTGTTCCATCAATGAAACGTATAAAGACGTTCGCATCATTAATACAATTATAAATATTTTTAATCCTACTTTAAATGATTATTTAAACAGATATAAATATAAACAATAAAATGTCTTTCTTTCTTTGTTATTACTGGAATGAACGGTCGCAGCTATTGCAGAAAAAATTTACATAACCTGCTTACGCGGGTTATGTATATTTTCTGCAACAGCTGCTTCCGTTCATTCCAGTAATAACAAAGAAAGAAAGCATTTCATTGTTTAATTAAATGACGTATGACAAATCATTACTGATGTGTGACAAATAACAATGCAGATTTAGCAACTTTAGCAACTTTGTGGTCATGGATTAATTCATTATACCGGTATGTCCCAATTGTATTACATGTATCATAAATTAACGGATTGAACTGGTAATTTTACCTGTCTGTCATTTTTGTTTTCTTGAAATAACGTATAGAATATAACATCATAGATAGGGCGTTTGTCTCTGATTCATTCAACATGGTATCCGGAGGGGGGTGGGGGTGGTATGGTAAGGTAATATGTTGCTTGACATGTTGTCAGGATATGAATTACAGTGCCGAAATGTCTCATATGTTGTAATAGGTTTTCTGAAAAGAAGTCCTAGATAAATTAGTTTCAAAAGACACAACGATCTTTTTTCACCCCGCATATATTTTGAAAGAACATCGGCGTTGTCACATGACAAAGATTCATGATATTAGCACGTGAAGTTAGTTTCGTTTATTATTCCTCTACTGAATTTTCCCTATATAAAATTAAGTGATTAGATCTGAACAATTCCATAGAAATCGTTGTGGATCAGCTAATCCTCGTGCATTAGTTTTTGAGCTAATATGTTCGTTGATAGCTACTAGCTAGTCATGCTAATCCTCGTGCGTTTTTTTTTTTTTAGCTAATCCCTCTGTCGAAAGCTAGTCATGCTAAGTCGCAGTTATCCGTAATCCTCTAGTTTTTCAATAAATATACATTTTGATTTTATTGAGTTATGAGAATATTGATTAGTTATATAATCTGTGAATATTATTTTTTTTAAAGCCCCCCCCCCCCCATTTCAACACGCACATGTTGCAGTGTATTCAAAGAAGGGGAAGTGTAGATTTTTAAAATAAAAAGTGGTACTGAGAGAAGTTTGATAAAAATTTTCACTTTGATTATATAACATTTTTATCGTTCATTGGTGGATTTATTTCAATCAAGTAATTTACATTAAATAATTGGATTACGTGCTATTTCCGTTTAGCCATCTTCTCAAGCCCTTAGCTAGCGAATATGGTGGTTATCTTGCTTTTTAACTTTCATAATTTTAATACTTTAGAAATCTTGTGTTTTCGTTTTGTTCTTTTTTTTAACGATAAATCTAATTTTTGCAGCCGATTTGATGCTTTGCAGACACGTAGCAAAGGGAGGGGGCACTTTTTTTCCCAACATTACCTTTACTATTGAAAATGTTTATTGAAAGGTTGGTGCCCCCCCCCCACACACACTTCTTACCATAGTAAAATGATATCAGGGAAATGTAGTATTGTTTGCAAAACAATTGGTAGTGAAAGGAAATTGACATTGAAAAAAGTTGCCCCACCCCTCCCCCTCGAAATAAGATTTTCGAGTTTGAGTAATTTTTTTTTCTTTCTTTTCTTTTTTGCGTGTCAACTTTAATTTACAGGTAAGTGAAAAAAAATCTCTGCCCCACCCCCCCCCCTCCCCCTCTTTCAAAGACGATGCTACGTGCGCCTGCTTTGCATCAATTTTGTTTAAAAGTCTACTATTGTGGTTTATTTCCTAAATATATATTATGCTCTGTGTGCGTAAGATACATATGTAGCCTTCAATATTGTCACTATTTTTCGTGTATTACATGTAAAAACTGTGTACATATCAAATATTCAGGAAATGTCATAAATTAAGGAAGTGACAATCAAATGACAATATATAATAAATTATGATTTAACTACAAAAATATTCATTTTTAATTAAGCATTTTTTTAAGCTTGATGTTTTCGTTATTAAAGAACACTTGTCTATTCTTTGTCAAAATCTCTGTTTTTTTCAGTTTGTATGCCGTAGGACCATATAATAACTTATTTAAGGATATTAAAATCCGTTTCCTCCATGACTACCATAGTATATATTTTAGTACAAAAAATTCAGTTTTACTCAGATATGATAGATTAACACTTGTGTTGGTGTTCAACTTATTCTGCCCCTTATTTTCATTTAAAAGGTGTTGCATGTATCCAAGTTTTTTCCACTCAATCATTATTTAATATTTATAAATATATAACAAATAGTTCTCATTTCTTTGAATAACAGATAAATAAAAAAAAACAATCCATTTTTCAGAACTTCTTAAAAAATTCATAGAAACATTGTCCTGAAATTTTAAAATTTTGAAGAATGGCCTATATTGTTGAATTTTATTCCGTAAACATTTATGTGTTATTTTTATACAAAACGTCAACGTCACGGTGTTGAAGCATATAACGTCAACGTAATGACGTGAAAGCATTGATTAAGAAAACAATGCTAAATTGAAACGGCTGTGAAAAGAAAACCAGAAAAGATATTCTTAAAGATTAAAATGTTTTACAACATACAAATCTTCGAGTATAATTTCAGCAGGTTTCACTTATTTTGATGACTAGGCGGATTTTTGCACTTCGTGAACTTAGCTCTTTATTTTAAAATGTAAAACTATCATTTACAAATTCAGAGTTTTGGAAAATATATATTATACCATATACAAACTGATAACTGTCGGAAAAAGAAAACTTCTGTAATTGTTTGAACATTCAAAAAGAAGTGTTTTTATTTACATTTATTAAGATGAAATGACTGCAAAGACTTTCAAAAATAACCCAACAAATGTGATACTGCCGTCAGTGATAGGAATATCTATCTTCCTTGTTTTGATCACCATGGTAACAATTATCATATACAAAAGGTAAGTTTTTTTAGATATGTGTACGTAAGTTGATTGTATTAATTTTAAGATACAATAATCCAAGATCAATTTTATGCAAGGAATCAATTAAGAATCTTCTCAACTTACACTTTGCGTGTAAAACATGCAAACCGGTTTATAGTTGATATGTATTTTTTTTTTTTTGTTTTGTTTTCCATCGTAAAAAGTTTATGAGATTTTTCCTTTCAATAATGCCACCAAATTAATGTAGAAATGTCAATGAAAAATATACAATGTAATGCGAATTAATACATTTTTGACCTAAGGTACGTAAGCAAAACACAATTTTTCAGATATACTTTTTTTCATTAGAATGAAATGATACATTGCATGTACAAGAAGAAAGAAATTGTTTCTTAATCTCCCATCTTAGCATTGGTCTCTTTTAAATGTATATCCTTTTAAACTTTTTTTATCTTTACAAAAAATTATACTATTCAATGATGTACTTATATTTGCAAGTGGTTTTATAGGCAACATATTATAAAGGTTTGGAGTGAAAGGAGAGGAGGTTCACAGACCCATCCTGCCCACGACGAATATACACAACAAGATAATATTAAACAATAGATCATAATTTGATACTTATGTGCTCTTAAATACTGAAACTGATGAACAATTCGGTTCATGTGACCCTGAAGCACATTTGCAGCTCTGTTCTGCAGCATGTTAAATAATAAAGAGGGTGTGTGTGTGTATAGAGCATTTATTACAAATGCCAAATGAGATTACAGATTTTACAATATCAGAATGCAGCAGAAGGTGGGGCCCAAAAACATCCCACACCTTACACAAAAGAAAACTAGTACATATATTTTCTACAAAATTAACAATAAGTACCTTAAACAAAAGAAACTAGTACATCTATTTTCTACAATAACAAAAGTCATGCAATAACAATAGGCACCTTATATAAAAGAAACTAGTACATGTATTTTCTACAATAACAATAATTATGGAGGATTGAAGGGGTGGTGGTGGGTAAAATTTGTAAACCACATTTTGGAGCCGAAATGTTATTCTGATAAGGATAAGGCTAATAGCCGTTACTAGAGGACGCTTAAGTATAAAACCCGGAAAATCCTTCGGGACCCATGAATTCAAACAAATTGGTAATTAATAAAAATATGCAATTTATTACGTATTTAGATCACATAAATTCCTTTATATACATAAATACACTTATATTTGGTCTAATGCTTGAATTATAATAACTAGTTGAAATAACTAGCTGTCATCTAATACCCCTTAAATAAATATTCAACAAGAGTTATGACAAAGGTTTAAGTTTCTTAAGGTACATGAATATACAAGGTCTAGGTCAAAAGGCAACAAAAATGTTGGAATTCAATGAAAGGTCTTGTCACAAAAAAATACATGTTTGAAAAATGAGAGCTCTAATATCTAACGCTCAAAAAGTTATGGCCAAAGTACAAGTTTTTAATTTTTCTTTAAACGTGGGTAATACTCCAAGGACAAGGACAACATAAAGGTCAAATTTTGTTGTACCCAGAGAAAGATATTGTCACAAGGAATAAAAATGTAAAAATATAATTATCATAGCTCCAATAAGTCAAAAGTAATGGGCCATCTTAAGGTTAAAGTTTTTGCGGACATACAGACAAACAAACAAATATACAGAAGGATGGATACGGCAAAAACTGTATACCCTTGAAAATGTGATTGCAGTGCTATAAAAAGTTTTTCTAGGACAATTTCCGTATTTATTGAAGTGCATTAATGCAAGAGAGCAGCGTGATGTCTTTCGTACCCCCCTCCTTTCAAGAAAAAAAAATAAATACAAGCATTGAACTTTTAAGCTTATCTGTTTCCACTCAGGAGGAACGCCAGTATCATCATTTTTTTTTTCAATTTTGTATTGATTTTTGTTCAACTTGGTATAAAATTAGTTTCATAAGATTTTCTTTTGTACAGCAATTATCTACTGCATAATAATAATAAATTCTGCTACATGTATATTATATTATGACTTAATTTGTCAATAGCAATTTCATGAATTTCACGGTGCCTTCATACATGTTTTGAGACTAATAAATCTAGCAAAGAGATATAAACTCTTGAAATGTGCTAAAAGGCAAGCATTTCTGAATTGCCGTTCTTGGGTGAACACTATTTAAAACTAGAGGTACTGTGAGCAATGAGCTCACTAAATGATACCCCCCTCCCCTTCCGCCTCCCATAGTGTTATAACTGATGACAAAGTCCATGTTTTGCTGTGGCCGGGAAACCCAAAATATGTGTCGGATCAGAAAATAAAATAGGAGGTGCACAATGGCAATATGTAATAAAGATTCTTTGAAAGCGGATTAAGAGGAGTTGCAAATAACAGATGGGTACCCTATAGCGTAACAGACGGACGGACGGACGGACGGAATTAACGATTTCTATTTACCCTCCCGCTTTTCATGCGTGGGGGGGGGTACATTTTTTTTATTTGAACCTTGTTTATCAATTGCCAATGCACAAAAAATAAACAAAAACAAACAAATTGATATTACACTTAATTTATTTTGAAAAAGCCAGATGAAAGGATGCATAAAGATTAGATATTGCTGTCTCTTTGTCTTTTGACATTTAATTTGTGTTCCACTATAGACATATGCTACCAAAAATATCGAAACAGAAAGAAAGATAGCTCGTGTTGTTTTCAAGGGTATAAAGTTCTCTATATTACATGTACAGTCCTTGCTTTTACAATAAATGTAACGTGAAAATATGTACAGTAATAAAGTGATACAGTTACATGTGCAGTCATGTTATAACGGAATCAATCATTTTGTTTTATGTATTTAATAAAAATGAAATAAATATTTTAAGTATTTGAAGATGTTTTGGTGTCAAAAAATTTATACAACACGATGCTAAATTTTCTGCTTACTGTAGATCACAAAATTTTCGCGACACCTTATTTTCGTGAGATAGTCATTGACACTTGATAAGCGAGACAAAATATTCGCGAATTGTGGTAATTGCTCTATATATTCTTATGGAATACTATTGTACGGAAGAACTTAATTTTCGCGAGGACATTGTCTCGCGTAATTACGCAAAAATAAAGTTCTTGCGGATAAAAAGTGATTGACAGTACTCAATATTTAATTTTAGAGAGAGAGAGAGGGAGGAAATACAATAAATCTACATTAAAGATACTTTGATTCATTGCCATAATAGGCATTTACCTGGAACAATAAACAACAAAAAAATATATGTTATATACGTATAGCAAACATGATCACGTTATGAATATAATCAGCTGCAAGTTATTAGATATACAATGCAGAGTGTGAAATATATTTCTGTTTAAATTTCCTGTAATTAAAATAATTTCCCTATCAAACTCAGTTTTTATTCTATATCTTTGTTGACCCTACAATATCAATAAGAATAGGTTAAGTAACCCATCGGAAAAAAAAAAATTATTACTTGTAAAAACACGGAACCTATTTAAAAAATGAGGCATTTTTTTCATTTCAAACTATGCTAACATTTTCTTTGCTGTTCTGGAACAAAATAATCTATACACGGATATGAAGGCCATCACAAAGCATATTGTGTTTTAAATATAAACAGGGAGTACTTAGTGGTATGATTTGTTTAAATATTCTGTTTTACTACGATGACAAAATATTATCAGTCTGATTTAACAAGATGACATGTTGAAAAAGCCTGAAAGGATAGTATTTTTAAATACGATTTTCAGGGAGATGTACCAACATTTATTACATGTATCTATGCACAATGCATATTTTCTATACAACTCGCAAATTTGTGATTGCAAACACGGACTTAGATGCATGTTCACCACATGTACGAGGAAATAAAAAGCTATCGCCATTGAACTCGCGATCGTCGGTACACATAAATGATCATTACACAAAATTTCCGAGTCATGCTCATGCGTTTACTTTGTCCTTTCTATACTGCGTTAAAGATGTTGGTTATTCTAATGATATAAGGATTATCCATTTTCATCAGTGCTTCCGTAAGTTGTGTAAATTTTCTTTCTAGCACTGATTTTAATACTACATGTAAGCGTATACTTGGATCATTTTTTTAATTTCATTTTCTTGTGAAGGATTTATCATGTATTATTTACAAAATTTATAACATTACATTTAGATTGAAAATTGAATCATTGTACAATTTTTTGCCATAAAATACATGTACTAACAACTATCTTTGAGTGGATGATACATGACCTATTATACTTTTCCTGTACTTTAAACAAAAATATAAATGTTTCCCCGAATGGAAAGACCATTTTGTTTTTCAAAGCTTTGCCTTCCTCTCTTGTTTCGAAAATCCCGGAAATATTTTCTTAATTCCCTATATTATTTTTATTTCCGTTCATTCATTTTCTGAAAAAAAGATATCGTTGTTTACATGCTTTAAAGTTTGATCTTTAATTGTTTACTTCACTGGTACATGTATTTTACTTTATCTTTTAAACTTAAAGTGTATAATTGGAGAAAATATTCATACTCTTTTTTCTGTTAATAGATAGCTTAGACATAATGACAGCAACAAGGTGTTTTAAGAACATGACTGGCTTGAGCATGTCATATGACGTTACATCTAATACGAACTATATCACATCCCGAATTTCTTTTGAGGAATTTGATTTGGAGACAAATGTGAACAGTAACAAGTTACTCTTTGTTGTGTTTGTATTTGGAGTATCTCTTGCTGCCTTCTTCATGGTGTATTTTACTTAATGATGTACATAAAAGTAAAAGACACAAAGAAAAGAAATATCAAGTGGAGAAATATTCTTAAACGGGATTCAGTAAATTATCGTAACTTTGAGGACGATGTTGCACTTCACATATGAAAAAAATTTGAAAGACTGCAATTTAAAAAAAAATTATCATCAATTTGTAAATAATTTTAATATACTAGTCCGGAGTAACACTATCTGACCCCAGTAATTTTATCTCCTTCTGTGGGTAGAATATCACTCACAAAACATAGCTCTATACATAATTTAACCATCTCTCTATTGTTTTACAATGATCTCACTTTTCTTAAACAAATGTTTTTGATAATGATACACTATACGTTATTTCTTTATCTTATCCTTTACATCTTTAGTTGTTGATTTATAATATACTAGTACAAATATAAGAAAATATTATATTGATTTAAAATACATGTAAATCAAGTAGAGTTAAATAAAACAATGAAATATCCACATCGCGCAGTGGCAAGAGCGTTTTCTCTAAAGTCAGGGCTTATGGACGTAATCCTTACGTCGTGGGTTCGAATTCGAATGAGTGACCTGGAGAAAAAGAGATTGTTAAAACATAGGCCCTGTACCACAGTTAGTTCTGGCACAAACAAGATCCCTCGATGCTAAAAGGCCGTAAGTGTCGAGTTCAGGTCTAAATCTGTTGACCAATAAGTGCTGACGACCCAATATGCGTGAAAAAAGAAAACGTTTATTATCAAAAAAAAAAAAAAAAAACAAACAAAACAAAAGAAAGAAACTAAAGCTGATAGACTTTATAAATTATGTAAACAATAGGAATTTTTTTACAGTGTGAAACATATGTGATAGCTATGGGAAAAAAATAAGGGCCTAGAAAAAGTAAGCCTGTGTTTTAATCCCTTCACCGTGAGCCCATATATTGATCAGATACGTAGAAACAATTATTTAAAAGTTTTACTAATAGGCTATAGCTAAATACTTCAAAAAAATTGTTCACAATTTATTTGTTTAGGATTACGGAAGGAAACGTTTGTCAGGATGAGACTGTTTATTTGTGATTAAAAGCTGGATAGAATATTTACATCGTATCTGAAATGGTTCTTCTATAAAATGTATTTCTGCACCAACCTAATGGTTATATTCATAAATGTTTGCAGTGTAGTTTCCAAAAAAGGGCCATGTGATAGCAGGTACATGTACACTATCATTGTCATTTGTTTCTATTTTCTTTCTTTTTTTTTTTTTTTTGTTTCAATTTTTCAGAAAATAGAATTTTACTCTAAAACTATTTCAGACAGCATGGATGTTGTTCAGAGACCATATGGAACGAAACACTTCAAAAATGTACAGGTATACATGTACACATATATGAATGAATAAATATTCAGTGTTACTTTTGTCTTGAGAATTACAATTATTGATATAAAATTTGCTTAAATGAAGATGATCTTTTCAG